CAGAAACTTGTGTAAGGAATCATTCAGAACCTTGTATACCTCATATGTCAGACCAATACTGGAATATGCGGCTCCAGCCTGGAGCTCACATCTAGTCAAACACAAAACGAAGTTATAAATGGTTCAGAGGTATGCCACCAGGCTAGTCCCCGAGCTGAGAAGAGTGAGCTATGAGGAAAGATTACTGGAACTGAACCTCACGACACTGGAAGACAGAAGACTTAAGGGAGACTTGATCACTACCTACAAAATTCTCAGAGGAATTGACAGGGTAGATAAACTGTTTAACACTGGTGTTACGCGAACAAGGCAACACAGGTGGAAACTGAGTTCCCAAATGAGCCACAGGGACATTAGACATTGAAAAAAAGGACTTTTTCAGTATCAGAGTAGTTAACGGATGGAATGCATTAGGCAGTGATGTGATGGAGGCTGACTCCATACACAGTTTCAAATGTAGACATGACAGCGCCCAGTAAGCTCAGGAGAGGCAGGACCAAAAAGCCAGAACTCAACCCCCGTAAGCACAACTAGATGAGTACAACTAGACGAGTCACACACACACACACAGACAATGGCAGCATGACAAACAAAAAGCTTCATCTCTCAGCATAACTACACATCATGTATTTGTCATATTTCACTGCTAGACCAAAGTGTTACAAGTGTGAGGCAATTCTTTAGTCCATAATCTTGTGTTTCTGACGCCCTGTCATGCGTTATACGCCATCTATTGTATGTATGTACCCACCTCTTGTTACCTAGCAGTCAAATAGGTACCTGGGTGTTAGTCAGCTGTCACGGGCTGCTTCCTGGGGGTGGAGGCCTGGTCGAGGACCGGGCCGCGGGGACACTGAAAGCCCCGAAATCATCTCAAGATAACCTCTGACGTCGCTATTATACAGCAGCTATTGTACTCAACTAATTGTGTTGGCGGGGGTTGAGCTTCGGCTCTTTGGTCCCGCCTCTCAACTCTCAATCTACTGGTGTACAAGTTTCTTAGCTAATTGAGCTGTATCATATCTATATTTGAAACTATGTATGGAGTCAAGAATATATACATTGTACGTATGCACGCATGACTGACGTCACAACATGTTAAACATCCTCTATTGTATGTTTCAAGCCCTTTCTGACGTCACAACATGCGTTAAACGTCCCTTATTGCATGTTTCAAGCCCTTTCTGACGTCACAACATGCGTCGAACCACTCGCTAGACGTTACGACGCACGGGAGAGGCGCCCAGACCTTCCGAGACAGCAAAAACCTTCAAAATATGCCCCAGACACTTTAGGTCACTTTTAAGATCGTGCAAGAGCAACACTTTCACTTACGACCAGCACAAGTAACCCGTCGTCTTCCTCCTCCTCCTCCTCCTCCCTGCCACTCACAAGTGGACCTGTGAGAGACGGAGCTGCCAGACCTTTCACTCCCAACACTTAAGATGGCCTAAATCATCACAAATGTTAAACAAGTGACACTATCTAACTTCATTAACTGATATAAGAACATAATAATATTGGAAACTGTACATGGTCTATTGTTCCATACGAGGCAGCTCCTATTGGTCCATACGAGGCAGCTCCTATTGGTCCATACGAGGCAGCTCCTATTGGTCCATACGAGGCAGCTCCTATTGGTCCATACGAGGCAGCTCCTATTGGTCCATACGAGGCAGCTCCTATTGGTCCATACGAGGCAGCTCCTATTGGTCCATACGAGGCAGCTCCTATTGGTCCATACGAGGCAGCTCCTATTGGTCCATACGAGGCAGCTCCTATTGGCCCATACGAGGCAGCTCCTATTGGTCCATACGAGGCAGCTCCTATTGGTCCATACGAGGCAGCTCCTATTGGTTCATACGAGGCAGCTCCTATTGGTCCATACGAGGCAGCTCCTATTGGTCCATACGAGGCAGCTCCTATTGGCCCATACGAGGCAGCTCCTATTGGCCCATACGAGGCAGCTCCTATTGGTCCATACGAGGCAGCTCCTACTGGTCCATACGAGGCAGCTCCTACTGGTCCATACGAGGCAGCTCCTACTGGCCCATACGAGGCAGCTCCTACTGGCTCATACGAGGCAGCTATTTATATACACCTAGATCCATTCACATGTGTGTCCTACGCTTGAAACAATCCAGTAATCCCACACCTATGTTACCGGTAATTTGTTCCATAAACCAGGAATCGAGACTTACCATTTATATCAGAAATATTAAAACACTCTTACTATCTAGAATACAAATAAAAGCAATTGTCACGAATTAGTAATCACCAATGACGCTTAAATCGCTAGCAGTTTTTAACAGGATAACATGGCCGTAAATCTCTACCAGAGAGCATACGACATGATCCTTATCGTCACTGATAGCATGATGAGTTATCAAGACAGTGAGACGCAGATGGCAACACTCCCTGCCAAATAGAAACAAACTCTACGATACTAACACATAAGGATGACAATAGAGTGAGAAACAGGTCCAACACATGTCAAATGATGCAGATTAACAGTAAAGCGAAGAACAAGGACAAACCATAAAAAAGTAATTAAACTGGAGGACAAAAAAAATAGTGTGTGGGACCCAAGCAGCACGAGGCTGCCCGGTGAGGTCGGTTGGTCTCCGTTACCAGCCTGGTGTAGACCCGGGCATGTTGTTCTTGTTATAGATTCAGCTACTCGGAACAAGTTCCAAGTAGCACGGGGTATGGTGAGCCCGTAGGGAATTAGGGGCCCGGGCAGTTGCTGCCTCAGTGTGGGTGTCCTGTCACCCCCTTTCCTCCCTACACACCTCTTGTGTGAAGATGAGAGAAGTATATATACCCTGGAAACACAAACCGTAACTCTCTCTATTTACCGCTTGTTACAACTTGAAATAAAGTTGTTACATCTTGGCTTAACGTGTTTATGACGTATTAGAACGTTGTTACAACTTGCTATATTGGTTGTTATAACTGGTTAGGTGTTAAAACTTGTTCGAACGTTGTACCAACGTTGTAGTTTCGGTGTATGTTTGGCGATATATCTGTGAAGACTGATGGTTCTTGTGGCTTGTTCACGTAGTTTGAATAACGAGATAATCTCCTCAACCAGCCAATAGTAACGAGTACAAGCGCCGTTTCTCACAATACATCGTTGGGGGGAAAATAACTGTCACGAATCTATGATATTTTTTTCCCAGTGCATTGAGCAAGAGCCGTGTAGCCCGTGTTTGTGGGAGATTAAACATGAATATGAATATCACGTAAAATATTATATTTGAGAAAAGCCTTTGTGATTCATCGCTTGAACGGCTGATGTAGGTTGATATTGTGGATGTGAGATTGTGTCTAGTGTGTAATATTTTATGGTTTTTGTTCAACCGGCCGAGTACTCGGTCATGTTCAACCGGCCGAGTACTCGGTCATGTTCAACCGGCCGAGTACTCGGTCATGTTCAACCGGCCGAGTACTCGGTCATGTTCAACCGGCCGAGTACTCGGTCATGTTCAACCGGCCGAGTACTCGGTCATGTTCAACCGGCCGAGTACTCGGTCATGTTCAACCGGCCGAGTACTCGGTCATGTTCAACCGGCCGAGTACTCGGTCATGTTCAACCGGCCGAGTACTCGGTCATGTTCAACCGGCCGTGTTCAAGCCTAGTACTTACCCAGACTTACTCACGCTCTGGGTACTTGGTACCCACTTATTCACACTCTGGGCACTTGGTACCCACTTACTCACGCTCTAGGCACTTGGTACCCACTTACTCACACTCTGGGCACTTGGTACCCACTTACTCACACTCTGGGCACTTGGTACCCACTTACTCACGCTCTGGGCACTTGGTACCCACTTACTCACACTCTGGGCACTTGGTACCCACTTACTCACACTCTGGGCACTTGGTACCAAATCACGCTTTTGACACTTGGTACTCACGCTCTGGGTACTGGGTATGCACATATGTTCTTGTTATTCACTTATGCTCTGGGAACTGGGTAATTATTCATGCTCTTGGTATTGGGTATCGGGTACTCCTCACGCTCCGGGTACTTCCTCACACTCTAGATAACTACTCACACTCCAGGTACCAACTCACACTCCGGGGGTACCCAGTGGTACTCTGAATACCCACACACGCTCTGGGTACCCACTCTTGCTCTGGGTACCCACTCTCGTTCCAGGTACCCACACACGCTCTGGGTACCCACTCTCGTTACTAATAATATTATTCTCATCATTTACACTTTTAATGTAATAAAATCATGATATTTGAACTGATATTTCGCCTTAAAAATACATAATAAATTTCAGAACGAGAAAATTTCGATTTTAAAAACGATTAAATTGTTTTTTCGTTAAGATAACAATTTACTAACTTTATTGAACTTTTGCCAATGTGTACCTTATCTTGTCACTATCTACGGCTTCTTCTAGCTGGTAATTCGAAATATATAGATCATTATACAGAATAAAACTTATATTTAGTTTAATCGATCAAAAAAATTTATTCGGTATCAGATTATTATTTTTTAAAGGAGATTTCAACGCGTTATAGAAAGTATTCCATGATACAATTCTTCCTTTTAACCCATTGGTGATTTTAAGGAGATTTCAACGCGTTATAGAAAGTATTCCATGATACAATTCTTCCTTTTAACCCATTGGTGATTTTAAGGAGATTTCAACGCGTTATAGAAAGTATTCCATGATACAATTCTTCCTTTTAACCCATTGGTGATTTTAAGGAGATTTCAACGCGTTATAGAAAGTATTCCATGATACAATTCTTCCTTTTAACCCATTGGTGACTTTAAGGAGATTTCAACGCGTTATAGAAAGTATTCCATGATACAATTCTTCCTTTTAACCCATTGGTGATTTTAAGGAGATTTCAACGCGTTATAGAAAGTATTCCATGATACAATTCTTCCTTTTAAACCATTGGTGATTTCAATGCAACATATGCAATAATCCCACTGGAAGAATTTAACGCAAAGTGTTGCAGAGATACTAACCTGATATGCATGGTGCCCACGTCGATGGAGTAGACACTGAATATATACGATTATCAAAGCAATTAATAACTGTCCTCTAGTGCATTATCCAGTGTTTGTGGTGAGAGGAGGAGGGAGCCGTCCGGCGGACTGTTGCCCCGACGGTGTCTGGCTGACAAGTGGAGGCGGGCTCGCTCCTCACCGCCTTATATACCTTCCCTTCACCCCCCCCAAACACCTCCCCCTCCTCCTCCTGCCCCCCCCAGGCCAGGACAACCCCCCCTCCCTCACCCCCCCCCTCCCTCACCCCCCCCTAACCTCTTCTGCTGTCCTATCTCACCTTTGTTCACTCTCTTGTTCACTCTTTGGCTTGTTCACTCTTTGGTTTGATCACTCTTTGGCTTGTTTACTCTTTGCCTTGTTCACTCTTTGGCTTGTTTACTCTTTGCCTTGTTCACTCTTTGGTTTGTTCACTCTTTGGCTTGTTCACTCTTTGCCTTGTTCACTCCCTGCCTTGTTCACTCTTTGGTTTGTTCACTCTTTGGTTTGTTCACTCTTTGGCTTGTTTACTCTTTGCCTTGTTCACTCTTTGGTTTGTTCACTCTTTGGTTTGTTCACTCTTTGGTTTGATCACTCTTTGGCTTGTTTACTCTTTGCCTTGTTCACTCTTTGGCTTGTTTACTCTTTGCCTTGTTCACTCTTTGGTTTGTTCACTCTTGGCTTGTTCACTCTTTGCCTTGTTCACTCCCTGCCTTGTTCACTCTTTGGTTTGTTCACTCTTTGGTTTGTTCACTCTTTGGCTTGTTTACTCTTTGCCTTGTTCACTCTTTGGTTTGTTCACTCTTTGGTTTGTTCACTCTTTGGCTTGTTCACTCTTTGGTTTGTTCACTCTTTGGCTTGTTTACTCTTTGCCTTGTTCACTCTTTGGTTTGTTCACTCTTTGCCTTGTTCACTCTTTGGTTTGTTCACTCTTTGCCTTGTTCACTCTTTGGCTTGTTCACTCTTTGGTTTGTTCACTCTTTGGCTTGTTCACTCTTTGGCTTGTTCACTCTTTGCCTTGTTCACTCTTTGGTTTGTTCACTCTTTGGTTTGTTCACTCTTTGGCTTGTTCACTCTTTGCCTTGTTCACTCCCTGCCTTGTTCACTCCCTGCCTTGTTCACTCCCTGCCTTGTTCACTCCCTGCCTTGTTCACTCCCTGCCTTGTTCACTCCCAGGGGAAGGTAGTGTGTCACGCTTAAGTGCCTCTCTTAAGCGTGACACCCTGGAAAGGGAAGGTAGAGGGGATGAACCTGGGCGCTAAGGGAGAGGACGGGGAGAGGGGGGTGAGGTGGGGGGAGGGGTAGTGGTGGGGAGGGGGGAGTGGGGGGAGGTGTCTCACACGAATGAAGAATTGTTCAGTTCCAAGAAATGGAATGACCCTCGAGAGATGCACCTCCGACATAGATCTTACAGTCCTCCCTTAAGACTGTGATCTTACGAAGTTTCCTTAAAATTGGCAATTTTCAGGACTCTCCTGACAGGGGCCGCCTCGGGGACTGTACCTGAGAGTGAATCTTCAAGGTCGACTTTACCTGAGGAAGATGTGTGTCCTCAGTGACCCCCCCCCTCCTCTCTCTCTCTCTCTCTCTCTCTCTCTCTCTCTCTCTCTCTCTCTCTCTCTCTCTCTCTCTCTCTCTCTCTCTCACCATAGGAATAAGACAAGAACGTCTGGTTTGAACACATTTTCACCGTCAACAAACATTTGATGCTGATGGCGAAGAAAGGTTTAAGATGAAGCTGTGTGGATAACTTGGAACACCAAGAGCTGGGTAACTACCTACAAGGCAGAAAACAGACTGTCACAGTCAGAGGACGGGTTTCGAGCTGGAGGAGTTTAGTAAGTGGCGTTCCCCGAGGGTCAGTCCTGGGTCCCCCATAGTTAACGAGGAATGTAAAAACCGAGGAGGACTGCAGTAGGATATAGGAAGGTCTTGACAAACTCCAGAAATGGGCACATAAATGGTTGCCGAGATTCAATCCCAAAAAGTGTAAGGTAATGAAGTGAGAGAGACCAAGAGGTCTCCATACAGAGTCCAAGAGGACACCATAAGGGGAAGAAAATCAGAAAATAAAAAACAATTGACGACGTTTCGGCCCGACGTCCTGGACCATTATCAAGTCCAGGACGGACCGAAACGTCGCCACTCCCCCTTTATAGGGCGACATCGACCGCATATGTGCCGCTTCCGTCCAGGACAGACCGAAACGTCGTCGTCCCTTCACCTTCTAGTGTGTGATCTGGCCAACACTGCCTTAATAGTCTTATGCACAACGAAATCACATTAACGTGATGTATTAATAAGAAAATTTGTCGTTGCCAAAAGGAGGATTCGAAGCGGCACACTGGGTACTCCCTCAACACACGCCTTACACCACTGAGCCACGATATGCTCAAAGTAATACAACCTGGGATACAAGTGCCTCGTCTAGGGGAGTGTATGCGGGTAATGCGTGACACCCTCACTTGGTTTCACTGGAAGCCTCAGGACGCATAGAGGATTCAGTTGAATTCCAGGTTGTATTACTTTTGGGCATATCTTGGCTCAGTGGTTCAAGGCGTGTGCTGGGGAGTATCCAATGTACAGCTTCGAATCCCCCTCCAGGTTCCTACTAATTTTCTCGTTCTATGTAATTGTGCTTGTACGGGGGGTTAGGTTTCGGCCTTTCGACCATCAATCAACTGGTGTGCACAGGTTGCTGAGCCTATTGGGCTCTGACATATCTGCACATGAACCTGTGTATGGAGTCTGGCTCCACCACATCACTGCCTCGTCCATTCCATAACTACTCACATACTCAACAAATTATTCCTAACGTCTTTAATTGCCTGATTTGGGTATTCAGTTTCTCCCCGTGTTCCTTATCCATCTACCTCTCTGGATATCTTATCTTAGAGAGCTTATCTACCTCTAATAATCTGCTCTTTAAATTCTGCTGATAATTTTTTACGTGGTAATCATGTCTCCCTATACCCTACTGTCTACCAATCATGTGATGATTTGTTCCACTAGTCTTTTCTCTTAACTCATACCTCTCATTTCTGGCACTAGTCTGGTGGTATACCTTCACACTTACTCAAACTTCGTTTAGTGTTTGACATGTAAGGACTCAAAGCAGGTGCTGCATATTCCAAGATTGGTCTGACATATGTGGCATACAAAGTCATGAATGAGGTTCTTACACTAAACTACGAAGCATATGTTGTTGATGATATCCGTTTGATATGGGCTTCAGGAAATAGATTCAATGTCTGTAATTACCTAAGTGTAGTTACCTAAATATAGTTACCTAAGTGTAGTTACAGGATGAGAGCTACCCTGGTGGTGTCCCGTCTTCCCAGTTATGTCACGTGACTCTGACACTGCTGAAGCTTTTGGCATCAACCACCTTCTCAACTTGTTCTAACCTGCCATAACTTTGTTCCCAAAATAGACCTTTAGGACATTTTTGCTCAGTTGCTCTTTGCAGTGAGAGAGAGAGAGAGAGAGAGAGAGAGAGAGAGAGAGAGAGAGAGAGAGAGAGAGAGAGAGAGAGAGAGAGAGAGAGAGAGAGAGAGAGAAAGTGAGATTGAGAGAGAGAGAGTGAGAAAGTGAGAGTGAGAAAGTGAGAGTGAGAAAGTGAGAGTGAGAAAGTGAGAGTGAGAAAGTGAGAGTGAGAGAGGGAGGACTACCAAGTATGACATCAGTAGACAGGAGCGCCAGAGACGCCTCCTGGTACGGAAGTGTTGATGATATGACACACCTGGTTATTCCCCCCCCCCCCTCTGACCTTGCCTCTTCCTCTCCTCCACCTACATCTCTTCCTCCTCCTCCTCCACCTTCTCCCCCCCCTGCCCCGCCCCCTCCGCCTCATATATTTTCTCGTTATCTTCATTTGCTTAAGCTATAATTAGTTATCCTTTAACATTCTGTTCCTCTTCTCTCTGTTCTTCTGTGGCCCTTTCAATATCTTCTATATTCTTCTGTGGCCCTTTCAATCTCTTCTATGTTCTTCTGTGGCCCTTTCAATCTCTTCTCTCAGGGGCTGCCCAATAAACTCGCCCCTCGGGGCAAAATTAAACAAAAATCAAGCTTCGTGATATTGGGGGACTTCAACCAAGGAGGAATAAACATGTCAGATACAGATCCACAATGAGACACTAGGCAGACAGGTCACACTGATACAACATGAAGCATTCAGTGGAAACATTGAGCATAAAATGCATTGAGCATGGAGGAGGCCTGGTCGAGGACTGGGCCGCGGGGACGCTAAGCCCCGAAATCATCGCAAGGTAACCGCAAGGTAAGGTAGCATAAAATGCTTACTCTGGAGACGTGAGAGGAAAACAAGGAAGACTGGGAGGCCTACGGAGCGCGAATGGAGGACATTTGGCCGGGCAAATTTGTAAACCTCATTCTGGAGACATTCATGTATGACCACGTCAAGCAGGCCACAAGAAGGAGAGATGTTCTGTCAATACAGGATCTAATATTCACCAGGAAAGAAGAGGAGATATTTGACATCCAGCATCTTCCTCCCTTGGGGAAGAGTGATCATGGCTTGTTGGAAATTAAATATGCTTTACAATATAATCTGAAATAGAATAGGGACATTGAAACAGTTCATAAACTTGATTTCAAGAGAGGACACTATGGGGGGGGGAACTTAGTAAATTATTTAATGAGTTTAATTAAGACAGATTTGTTGCTAGGCAAGGAAGGAAATGAGATGCATGCTAAATTACACACAGAGATCACACTAACGTGATGCATCAAATGAACAAATCCACAAATCCTCGTCACGGCCCTTGTGGATTTGTTCATGTATGCTAAATTTTGCAAAATATACGATAAAGGAATACAAACATTTATACCAAAACAAAAATGCAGGACCAGTAAACAGGATTGGTTCAACAGACATTATGAGAGGGCCAGAGAGGAAAAGACAAGAAGATGGGTACAATATGGGAAGAGTCCTAACCCACAAACATACCAGTACTACAAGCAAACAAGAAAAAAAAATAAAAAAAAATAAAATAAAATGTTTATTTAGGTAAGGTACATTCATACAATAAATTTTTACAAAGATTGGTTGACTTATAGGTAGAGCTAGTACATACAATGCCTAAAGCCACTATTACGCAAAGCGT